AAGCCCAATGGTTTTTGGAGATTTCGGCGTGCGCGCGCGAAGAAAAAACGAATGTGTCCCGCATGGTATTATTTGACAGGGATGATGGCCCTGGCAGGTGCGCAACCGTTGTCGCAGAAGTTCGAAAAAGTTGCTCGCAAAAGCCCGTTTGACAGAAATGTTTAAAAAGTGTTGGGTTTCCTACGAATCCGCAAGAGCGCGCGGGATGAGATTTTGACAATTTTTTGTTGAAAAACCATTGGTTTTTTGATGTTTTTATGTTAAAATCGCTGCGAACACTAAGGTTTTGGAAGGATTTCGTCTTGCGCGCGCGAATGTCCACTTTACCTTATTTTTTGCAAGGGATTCTCAACCGGATCCTGTACACACCCTCTTTTTCTGAGGATTCCTCACGAAAATGATGAAAATGTAGCTGCGGCCTAGGCGGCGCAGGGGGGGCGCGCACCAGGGGGCCCAACAATAATTATTCTTTAGAATAAATAATGCTCAACAACAACAACAACAACAACAACAACAACAATCAGTTCAAGACTGCTAGCTCTTATCTGCCCGCGTGTCATTCAATATGTATATCCCAAACCCTGGATACCCGCCCTCTTCGTCTTCGATCGTACCCCCTGCTGGGGTGTATATTCATTCCCTGCCACGCGTGGTTGGTAAAGCCCTTGAAAACGAAACGGAGGGCATTCTTCCATGGGGCCACGAAGGGCGACAGCGGGGCCACTGAGGGCAGCAACGGGGCCACGAAGGGCAGCGAGAGGGCCACGAAGGGCGACAGCGGGGCTACGAAGGGCATGCATATGGGGCCACGACGGGCGACTGCGAGCGGGGGCCACGAAGGGCATATAATGCGGGGCCACAATGAGCAGCGACGGGGCCACTGAGGGCAGCAACAGGGCCACGAAGGGCAGCGAGCGAAGGCGACCGCGGAACCAGTACGGGCAGCGAGGGGCATCGAAGGCAGCGAAGGGCAGCGAGCGGCGACTGCAGTCCCTAACGGGCTGGTCGGGCGGGCAGGCCCAGACGGGCGGGTCGAGCGGGAGGGTCGTTGAAGCGTAAATTCTGCTTGAACCGCCAGGCAATATATAGCGGGAGCGCCATTCCTGAGTGTCGAGGAGCGGCATCTAAATCAATTGTGAGGAAGTACCAGGCGGGAGCCGCGATTCGGTGGTAAGTTGCGAGGAAGTCCCAAGCCAGAGCGCGATCCTTCAATAAATTGTGAGGCCGCTCGGGGTTCAACCTGACGCACTCGTCCGACCTCAACTCCACGCTGTCGCAGGGTCAGGCGCTGCGCGTTGGCGTCACCATCGAATTTGCCAGGGGTGTGGATGCTGGGACGACCAGTGGTGGCTGCACCTCTACGTCATCCTGTTCCCGCGCCACGCGCATGCAGAACATACTGGTCGCGCGGCCGCCTTCGCACGAAATTCTGGACCGCGGACCGCCAGCGCCTTTGCGGAAGGCGATCGGGGAGTAAGACAAGAGAGCGGCGAGCTCCAAGGCTGAAGCCGAGCAGTTCGCCGAAGAGCTTGGTTTCGTGCTGCCTCCGGCCTGAGCGCGGCCGCGCCCTGTTCGAAGCTCGCGCGTTTCCCCCAACGGCTCGGTTATGCGCGCCAGCAACCCACGGGGTTGTCACAACGGCGTGGCTCTCGCGGTGGCCCCAACGGCTTCGCGAACTGGCCATCGGAGAGCGCGCCCCTGCCGACCGAAGCGGCGACGGCGCCAAGGAAAATCGACGCGCGCGCCCTTGCAGTACAAATGGGAAGGGGGTCGGCGGAAGGGGGAGGAAACGCAGGAGTGCGAGAGGGAGGCAAAGCAAGGGGCGGGAGGAGAGCAGGCGCCAGGGAGAGAAAGAGAATTGCGCAGAGGAGACAGGAAGGGAGCTTGCGCAATCACAAAAACACCGATGAGGCTGATTTCCAGGCTAACCAGGAAGATTACCATGCGAGGTCCTACCGTCGGAGAAATCACCCTGAGATGCCTTAATGCATCTGACGGGTAAATGTGCCGTTAAGTATCCTTGGAGGACCAGAGTCATCTTCATCATTGAGCCTTCCGTCCATGGTGTTTTGGCTAAGGTAACCACGACATACATGGGCTGAGCGTTTTACAGCTTTTCGCTCCATTCCCTGAATTTACCTCGATCACCTCGGAACGTCTTCAGATGCTGCATTGCAATATAATCGCCAAACGGCTCGACGCTTCCTCCACTTGGTTTACCGTTGCTTTCCGCTATAGATCTTGCCATCTTTGTAGATTGGTTCCTGGCGTTCTTCTGAAAGCCGATCTGGCCCTCCAGGTGACCGATCCTGAATCGTAAGTGATCTGGCGTTCCTTCAACAGACATGCTTATGTCCACCATGCTGAACGACAGCGGGACCGTCTCTCCTGCTTGACCCAGGTCCGGCCGTTCCCTTCAGGGGACTTGGAGGGCATCATCATCATCATCATCATCATCATCAGCATCATCATCATCATCATCATCATCATCATCATCATCATCATCATCATCATCACCATCATCATCATCCTCATCATCATCTTTTTCTTCTTCGCGACAGGCGTGGCGGATGAAACCCGCCTGGGGGTTAGACCCGGGCGCTCAAGCAGGGGGAGCCCTCGCGCACACGCGTGGCTCCTGGATCTCGGTCCAGAGGTGAATCGGTGGTTGGGGAAATCGCCTTAAACATACACTCATCATCATACTCATCATCATCATCATCATCATCATCATCATCATCATCATCATCATCATCATCATCATCATCATCTGCATCGTCGTCATCATCATAATAATCATAATCATAATCATCATCATCGTCAGCATCATCATCATCATCATCATCATCATCATCAGCATCATCAGCATCATCATCATCATCATCATCATCATCATCATCATCATCATCGTAAGCATCATCATCATCATCATCATCATCATCATCATCATCATCAGCATCATCATCATCATCATCTGCCTCGTCATCATCATCATCATCAGCATGATCATCACCGTCCTCCTCACCCTGATCCTGATCCTTATACTCCTCCTGATCCTCATCCTCATCAATATCAGCATCAGCCTCAGCATCAGCAGCCGCAGCAGCATCACCATCATCAGCCTCATCATCATCAGCAGCAGCAACAGCAGCAGCATCATCAGCATCATCATCATCATGAGCATCATCATCATCATGATCATCCTCCTCGTCCTCATCCTCAACCTCCTCCTCATCCTCATCCTCGTGAGCATCCGCATCAACCTCAGTACCAGCTTGTTCTTCATTATCATCAACAGCAGAACCACATCCGCATCAGCATCATCATCCTCATCATCAGCAGCAGCAGCATCCTCATCATCCTCATCATCCTCATCATCATCATCATCATCATCATCATGATCGTCATTAGCATCAGCATCAGCATCATCGTCATCAGCATCCTCGTCGTCATAATCCGCAGCATCATCATCAGCAGCATCATCAACATCATCATCAGCATCATCAGCATCATCATCGTCGTCATCGTGCCAATCATTTCATCAACATAATTACCATCATCGCCTTCCTCCTGCTCCTCCTCCGTCTCAGAACTGTCATTATCGTCATCATCGTCATCATCACCACCACCCTCGTCCTCCTCATGCTCCTCCACCTCCTCCTCTTCCTTCTCCTCATCATCACCATCAGCATCGTCATCATCATCGTCATCAGCACAAGCATCAGCATGATCATAATCATCATCATCATCATCATCAGCAGCAGCATCATCATCATCAGCAGCAGCATGATCATCAGCATCATCATCACCACCACCGCCACCACCACCACCATCATCATCATCATCAGCATCATCAGCATCATCATCATCAGCGTCAGCATCAGCATCAGCATCATCATCAGCATCATCATCATCATCATCATCGTCAACATCATCATCATCATCATCATCATCATCATCATCATCATCATCATCATCATCATCATCATCATCATCGTTATCGTTATCGTTATCGTCATTATCATTATCATCGTCATCGTCGTCGTCGGCGTCGTCACCATTGTCATCGTCGTCATGGCAATCAATGTACACATGACCATCACCACCACCACCATCGTCTGCATCGTCATCGTCATCCGCAGCAGCAGAAGCAGCATCAATACCACCATCCCAATCCTCATCATCGTGATCCTAATCAGCATCATCATCAGCAGCAGGAGCATTCTTATCGTCATAATCGTAATCATCATCATCAGCATCAGAATCATCAGCGTCATCATCGTCATCATGATCATCGTCATATTCATAATCATGATCGGCATCATCGGCAGCATCTTCTTTATCATCAGCATCACCATCATCATCATCATCATCATCATCATCATCAGCAGCAGCATGATCATCATCATAATCAGCAGCAGCAGCAGCAGCTCCAGCAGCAGCAACAGCAACAGCAGCAGCAGCATCATCGACGTCGTCATCATCAGCATCAGCATCAGCAATATCATCATCATCATCACCACCACCACCACCACCATCATCATATCCATCATCCTTATCCTCCTGATCATCATCAGCATCATCATCAGCATCATCAGCATCATCATCATCAGCATCATCATCGTCATTATCATCTCCGCCTCCTCCTCTTCCTCCTTGTCCTGCTCGTTTTCATTCTCGAACCACCTATGAAAATAATGCCTTTCTCGCAGCAACCCTCCGCTATTGCCATCACCCTCCTAACCTCTTTCGCGTCAAACTTCATCATTCGCACCGAGCAGGCTGGGCGAACAGGGGATAGCAAGAGGGGAGATGAGCATGTCAGTCACATGTAGCTGGTTTACCAGGTGGCTAGAGGCGCCTTGAGCGAACAGATATCGAGGAGCCTGGAGGCCTCCCTCCTGAGGAGTCGAAACCACTCGCATGGACCAGTTTTGGAAACTCACACCCGATGTCATCATCCCCCCGAATCCTGCTCCACATCCTCCTCCTCCTTCGACTTCCCCTATCCCTCCCAACGACGCTAAGGCAGTGCCCTGTCAGTGAGGCAGCGCCCACTGGCCCTGCGCCCGCGGAGTACCGCTCACGTCCACATGCAGATCGCCTTCGGACTGACTGCAGGCGGCACGGCGCGCGGGCCGGCTCCCCCGGAAGCAGTCGGCAACACGGGGCGGAAGAAGGAGGCCGTGCAGCGGAGTGCCAACCACTGCCGCCATGCCTCTGCAGGCAGGCCCAGCTCTCCTTGCTGCTGCGTGTGCTCCAACACTCATCGACGCGTGGGTTGGAACAGCGGAAGGCAGGACCATGCTGTCGCTTCTCATCCTCCACGCAGACATTCTCCTCCACATTCTCCACCTGCTACTCCATCTCTTCCCTCCCCTTGCCCCAACTCCTACCCCTCCACCCTCTTGGCCTCCAACCTATCCCCCTCTTCCTTCTCCTCTTCTTCCTCCTGCTGCTCCATTTCTCATCGTCCTCATCATCTACCTCCTTCAAATTATCAGCAGCAGCTGCAGCATCAGTGTCAGCATCAGCATTCTGTATCATCACTATCTCTCTCTGCCCCTCTCCGTTATTTGCACCCTTATTTACCATCGACAAGAACAGCACCTGCAACAATATATATATATATATATATATATAGGCCTGGCCACTAGGCATGGTTGTTTTAGCACCGGGAGTAGCAGGAGGGAGAACAGGGGAAGGGTGAGATGTAGGTGGGGGAGGAGATGGAACAGGATGG